TGGAAGATTTATATGACTCTCTGCACAGTCCACACATTCCGCTAAGATGCCAGCCAGATCTTACTGTCCAGTCTGACATTCTGCCAATAAAACTAAGGGGTCTATTCACAAAGCTGCCGAAGGATCTAGCCGTAGCTGCGGCTGATCCTTCGGCTAGCTTCGGCCCCAGGACGCCTAGAAAGCCGAAGCTGGCGGAACGGCCAGCCATTGGCTGGCCAACAGCTTGCTACTGACAGCTGGGCGGAGCCAGCCGTCCTCTTGCGGCGGGCTCTGGCCAATTGCAGAGACAGATCAGCGTCCCTGGTTACCAGGTAACCAGGGACGCTGATCTGTCATTACTCTCCCAGGCGCTCCGGGAGTCTCCCGCTATTAGATAGTGGCACCCAGACGCCCAGGAGAGAAGCACTTTCTCCCGGAAAGCTTTACTCTGCTCGATCGAGCAGAGTAAACCTTTCCCTGCTCTGTTGTTTGTTTTCTTTTCTTCTGACATCGGAGCCGCCGGCAGTCAGAAAAAAATAAACAGCATAGGAATGCACAGCAACATTCCTATTGGCTATTTCAGTTTGCAATAGCCAGTAACAAACTAGCTATTGCACCCGCCCACTGCTGCTGTCAATCAGCAGAGGGGCCCTGAAGTTCTTCTAGTGATTGACAGCAGCGGGTGCAATAGCCAGCTTGCTATTGGATATTGCAAAGTGAAATAGCCAATAGGAATATAGCTATGCATTCCTATGCTGACTTTATTTTTTTTTTATTCTGACGGCAGCAGCTGTCAGAATACTAAAAACAACCTTGCAGATAGCAAAGAAGCTATTGCTTCCTCTGCTATCTGCCATCATTTCAATCGTTTTCTATTTTTTTTCTACTTTTTTAAACTGTTTTTCTATTCTGCTCGGGACCACAGGGGTACCGAGCAGAATAGCCGAGCAGAATAGCCGAGCAGAATGCCGCTCGGCGGCATTCGGCTATTCACTCACTGCTGTTCGGCATCTATGAGAATAGGCTGAACAGCAGCGAGTAGCCTGCCCGAAGTTCGGCTCAGTCGATCCAGATGTTGGATCGGCTGAGTCGAACTTCTTCTGCACTTCGGGTCGGCCGAACATGCTGAGTATGTTCAGCCGACCCGAAGCCACACGAAGCCACCTGATGTACGGCTGATTTCAGCCGATATACGGCTGAAATCAGCCGTACAAGCCTGAAGTGAATAGCCGAACAGCATTCGGCTCACTTCACTTCGGATCGGTTATTCACTCGGCTGCCTACGGCAGTTTTGTGAATAGACCCCTAAATGTCCAGGTTCTATAGCCAGCCAAAGAAATTACCTTTCAAAAGCAAGTTTACCTAATTACAAGGTAGTAGAGAAAAAGACCATATTGCATATACCGTATTTTGCGGTCCATAAGACGCACCGGACCATAGGACGCAGGGAGGCCCGGCGCGCCTTATGGAGCACTCGACAGACTGTAGCTTCTGTCACAGCTTCTATGACAGAAGCTGTGACAGAAGCTGCAGTTAGTGACCGCTGAGACAGGTGGCGCTGTGATTACAGCGCCACGGTCTCAGTGATCACACAGAGCAGACGAAGAAAGTCCGTTCTTCGTCTGCTCTATGGTGATCTCGATCGTCGCCGCTGCTCAGTTTTAATACGAGTGATCTCATTAGATCACTCGTATTAAACGAGCAGTGGCTCCTATTGCTGAATACGATCGCCGCCGCCGCTGCTCGGCTTTAATACGAGTGATCTCATTAGATCACTCGTATTAAACGAGCAGTGGCTCCTACTACTCGCCCGGCGCCCGAAACTGCATGTCTCGGGCGTCGGGATTCGCTCCATAAGACGCAGGCACATTTCCCCCTCCTTTTGGGGGGAAAAAAGTGCGTCTTATGGAGCGAAAAATACGGTACTAGAAGTTATCCTCATATTTAGCAATGATCTGAAAAAAGGCAAAATCGGAACCACGACCACAGTGTACCTTTTATGTGTGGGGCAAGGTGTGGAATTATCTAACCTCTATGATTTCAGACACCAGCATTTACCTACTTTCAGACTGGACTCACATCCAGTTCCTGTACATATGTCATATAACCCGAAGAGAAGGTTACCATGAGACCTGCAGCAAACTACATGTAAATGTGGTCAGCTTAATGCTTATGATCTTATTACTGAAATGTGTACTAAATACTTAAATTACATTAATAGCCCATTAGGGTTAGGTGTTTTGCAGGTGACTATATGTACATGTCAAGACTGGTATTCCTTCAGTCACAAAATATAGAGTATATACCATCTGCCACATGATATACATTGCACATAAGTCATGTTGAGACTTTTCATTCTCTTGAGTTAAATAGTATACATTGTATACAGACCATACTGGGTCTTTTAGTCCCCCCCTCCCCCCCAGTAAAAAAAATCAATGTATACAGGTGATGGGATGTGCAGGCCCACTAATTACATGAAATACATGCTCGTAGCTGTTGTCCCCTAATTATATCAGCTCTATTATTGGTTGTTTGTCTTGGTGGAAAGAGGGGTACACATTACGTGTAGGTGGCTGTCAGTCTTAGGAAAGGGAGACAGTTTGTGGATTATGGCTATCAGCTCTGTTACGGGTGAGTAGTTTTCAGGTGGGTGATTGTGTGTGCATTGTATTCCCAAAAATAATGTCTTTTGTGGCTGCTTTTGTGTGTTGCCAGGCCCTTTCTTTAACACAACGCACCAGGACGTCAAGGTGTGAATGGGCCCTTAAGCATGTGGAATGCAATGTGGGTGGGTGTAAGATACATATCTATGTCAATTTACTAGAAAAGGGTTTCAACTCTAAATAGTTATTCAACTAATGGTATATGAACAGGCCTACGGAAAAGCTTTGCCTGAAGGAACCCTCTGCTTCCTCTCACTTCTGTTTTGTGTTAACTATGGGCTGGAGAGTAAGCATATAAAAATATAAAAGTCACATTAAAATGTAAATCAAATCAATATGTATATTCACTGAAAACATGCTAATCTACACCTCCTCCAAACTGTACAAATGTGAAATACTGTATTCATAAGTAGTTGGAAACTTTCTGCAGTTTAATTGAGTTTAATAAATACAATCACAATAATTAATTCACACAGTTGCTGCATCCACTGAAAACGCTATAAATAATACATAACAAAATCCTCACAGGTGTTTGTGCAAAAATCTGAAAACCCATGTGTATATTAATACATTCATGATATATATCGGCAGTAGGCACATACACACATCCAGTTCTTCCCATATCTACAATGTAATCCTTGTCTGATAGCAATCACTTTTCATTCAGTGCTGCAAACCGTCCCATGTCACAGGATCCAGCGGAATACATTATAGGTGTATACTGTACTGTGATAAATGTTCTCCCAGAAAGAAGCTTTTCTGGGTTTGGCTGAAATTGAAACTGCTTCTGTCAAACAGATGAACTGATCATCATTTGTGAAAGTCTGAGTCTTTTAGTCCCCCCCTCCCCCCCAGTAAAAAAAATCAATGTATACAGGTGATGGGATGTGCAGGCCCACTAATTACATGAAATACATGCTCGTAGCTGTTGTCCCCTAATTATATCAGCTCTATTATTGGTTGTTTGTCTTGGTGGAAAGAGGGGTACACATTACGTGTAGGTGGCTGTCAGTCTTAGGAAAGGGAGACAGTTTGTGGATTATGGCTATCAGCTCTGTTACGGGTGAGTAGTTTTCAGGTGGGTGATTGTGTGTGCATTGTATTCCCAAAAATAATGTCTTTTGTGGCTGCTTTTGTGTGTTGCCAGGCCCTTTCTTTAACACAACGCACCAGGACGTCAAGGTGTGAATGGGCCCTTAAGCATGTGGAATGCAATGTGGGTGGGTGTAAGATACATATCTATGTCAATTTACTAGAAAAGGGTTTCAACTCTAAATAGTTATTCAACTAATGGTATATGAACAGGCCTACGGAAAAGCTTTGCCTGAAGGAACCCTCTGCTTCCTCTCACTTCTGTTTTGTGTTAACTATGGGCTGGAGAGTAAGCATATAAAAATATAAAAGTCACATTAAAATGTAAATCAAATCAATATGTATATTCACTGAAAACATGCTAATCTACACCTCCTCCAAACTGTACAAATGTGAAATACTGTATTCATAAGTAGTTGGAAACTTTCTGCAGTTTAATTGAGTTTAATAAATACAATCACAATAATTAATTCACACAGTTGCTGCATCCACTGAAAACGCTATAAATAATACATAACAAAATCCTCACAGGTGTTTGTGCAAAAATCTGAAAACCCATGTGTATATTAATACATTCATGATATATATCGGCAGTAGGCACATACACACATCCAGTTCTTCCCATATCTACAATGTAATCCTTGTCTGATAGCAATCACTTTTCATTCAGTGCTGCAAACCGTCCCATGTCACAGGATCCAGCGGAATACATTATAGGTGTATACTGTACTGTGATAAATGTTCTCCCAGAAAGAAGCTTTTCTGGGTTTGGCTGAAATTGAAACTGCTTCTGTCAAACAGATGAACTGATCATCATTTGTGAAAGTCTGTGTCACACTGTCACATTTTACACTTTGTACATCCCTTGTCCTCATAGTGATGTAAGACAGAAAAATTGTGTGTTATGCAATCAATCCCACAATTACCAGCAAAGAGTCTGTATCATATCATATCCTTGCAGTTGCTAATTTAAAGAAGCAATGGCATCACAGTCCTGCAAGTGTTATCCTTTCACAGGTTAACCAGTGGTCAGTTTGATATCAATCTTGCAGTTGCCGCAGTAAGGAAGCCATATCATTGTAGTCCTGCAAATGTATTGTAATGGAAATTATGGCATTACTGAGTCTTGCAGTTGTCTTCAGATTATTCCTAGTAAAATATGCCATAGCATAGCTCTATAGCAACTCTGAAATGTTTGCCGGCAAAGAAGGTTATTATGTCAAATTGTCTTGAGGTGTCCTTTGGAGAGGAGTAGGATATCAGAGTCATAACCTTCAAATAAAATGTCCGATGAGTTTTTTCATCAGAGAATCCTGCAGGGACTTGAAACCATGTCCCTGGGAATTTCACAATATTCCGAGTCCCAAAGTCCCTTTCTCTCATCTCTAATGGCTCCATGTACTCACAGAAGGCTCCTCAGAGTTGAACTTCTCATCTTCATCCTGGCTGTCATCTGTAAGTAAAGCAGGATTGTTTAGATGCAGTAAGGTATAGTTTGTGTGCTAAGAGTACCTATAAGCAGATATGTGAAGGCCAACATTTTAATGTAAGGTGGTGTACTGCTTACTGCATACATGTGGAAGGTACATACCTTGGCACTCACTGCAGCAAATTCTGTCTGGCTTTCCACTAGCCCTGCATTCCGGATCACTGCATTTCCATTTTTGTTTGTCACACTGAGGAACACCATCCTGTCAAGATATAAGTGGTTGTATTTTATCACTACAGAGTCACTTATTTTCACCATCCCATTAACACTGATGTCATATTCTGATTTTGTTTTACTAAAATTTCCTTTTTTTAATTGACCTCATTATGACCCACACATTCTCCACCATTTCTACTTACCACACAAACACAGGTCACGCACTTCACCACGCCGTGTTTTGGAACGGTCGGGTGCCACCGCTCATTGTTAGAATACAGATGACCCATCACTTTGCACTGCCTTGGTTCATCAGACTGCATTCCGTCTGCCAGCCCCACAGGGTTTTGCTCTTCCTCTGTAAAAGAACAGTCCATTAATCTTATAGGTAAACAAAAGTGAGAATAGAAAACATTTTAAGTGCACCTCAAAGTTTTTATTGTCTGATAGTTTGGGGAAGGGTTAGGCTGGCCATAAATGGATTGAATTTTGGGCTGTTCTAGCTGAATCGGTTGAAATTATACACGTGGGTGACCCTGCCAGCACCACCTAGCTTAACAAACTTCGATTGTAATGGAATGTACAAGGGTTATAACACTTGTCACAATTTTACTGTTATCTGTGTCTGTGTTGGGAAGATTCTCTTCCATGTATGTGTGATTACTGGGACAGAAAATGAGGGGCAATCTCTCAGGGGGAAACACAACAATAAAAAGCCTTCCCCACTACATTCAAATGACATTTATAAATGACTTTAATGTTTGGTTCTTTGCAATGTGTCACTTTCTCTTACCTGGACACTTCTTGCAGCAGTCCATTGGGTTGGCACGGATTGGATTAGCACAAGTAAGCCGCGGGCAGGTCTTTCTCACGCAGTGCAGGTCTGGGAGGTCAGGTGAGGAATTCTAGTGACAAAAGAGATGGGTGAATGGATTTTTATCAATTTTGATAAGGAAAAACAACCAAGTAAGTACCTAATGTTGTAATTTAACCATTAAAAATATATTTTTTAATTAATTTATAAGCAGGTACATGCTTGTAAGACAGGAGTAGACATCTCAGCACTCAAGCTGTGGGGAAATTACAAATCTCCTCATGGGGATTTTACAATTACAATCCACCTGGGAGTCATGCCTGTGGCTGTCAGAGTCTTGCAATGCCTCAATTCCACAAAAGCTGGAGTGCCATGGTTGCATAATCCTATTATAGAAGATAGAAGGTGTAAAGAACTGTGAAAACCTACCTTGCAGGTACAAGTTGCACATAGGACTAGACCAAAAGGTTCAACCACTGGATGCCAATGTGTCCCAGCAGCTCTCCAAAACCCATTAAAATAACAACCTGCAAAAAAAGTAGAATTATTGAGATTCAAAAGTAACAAAGTATCCTGGATGAGAAGTGAATAATCATGTAGCAGAGAAACGTTTGGAAACCTTTCTTACCATCAGCCTGAGGTCTTCCAGGCTTTTTCACTTCCAGGTTTTCTTTCTTTTCTAAAAAAATAATAAAGCTAAATGTTGGTATAAAGGAAAACACTGAGAAAGAATTGTGATTGGTAAAAAAATTTCTGTGTTCCTAACCAGTTTGTTAAAGTATTACAATGGGCTAGTTATCTTTAAAAAAAAAGGTATTTTCATTCAAATCCTCTACATCTGGATTATGTTCACAGCCCTGAACCTGTTTTGTTTTTTTTACATACTGAACTTGGTTACACCATACACTTGCAAAAAATGTCTATTGTTTGTGTTTTTCTCATAAACCAAAAAATTAATATCTCTGACTCACACATTATATCTGACAACTTACCCTCACACACTGGACAGCACTGGTCAGGTAGTTGAAGGGGCTGAGTACAATTCAGAGGCTGGCACACAATAGGGTCACAAATCACGGTGCGTTTCTAAAGGAGAGATTAGAATCACAAATTCACCAGATGAAAAAATGGAAGACAATCAAGAATCCCACAATGATCGAAAACACTTAAGCCACATCCCTTGCCACTTATTTCTAGACTGCTTTGTGTTATGTACTTATTTTTATTTGCTTTCCATATGATTGGATAATTAAAGTGAATCTTCACTCTATTTATTGTGTGAAGATTCTCAAATCTTTTGGTAAATGAGCTTCAATCTGTTATTCTTGTCACCTGACATTTTCCATCATTTTCAATGGGATCATACATGTACAATAAAAACCAGAGGTTTGTAGACTTTTATAAGTTGGGACCACTACAAAATGATTTTGGATGACAGTGTGCAATGCATCACTTTTAACTTCAAATGCCATTGTCCTACTGTAACAGTTATCTATAGTACATGGTTATATCAGCTATATTAGCAGTATCACGTAGCAGAATAAGGAACGAATGAGCAGAACAAATAAAATATTTGCTTTGGACTCAAGATTTTTCTGTTAAAACCTATTTCTTTTTTTTTCAGCAGGCTGAACTTCATTTTTACGTATGTATGTTAGATTACATGGTCCTGAAGACAGTCACAGGGAAGCAGTAATTGCATTTGTTTAATGTATGTCAGATGCTTTGGCTGACTTAAGTGTCAGAGCTATTACAGCTCAGTACACAAAAACTAAGCTGTTACAGATGACATGGCTTGCTACTAATATATCTACATTAAAAAAAACCCATCACATACACAAATTAAACTGCATTCTATTGTAATTGCAAATCTAGAAATAGCTGATTTCCATACAAATGTAAATGGATGGTATGCTTCATTTCCGTAACTATTTGTGGAATAATATAACTCATTTTGTACCGTGGAATTTCCAGCTCTAGTCTATCCACATTTTTTACATGAGCCAGAGAGACATATGTGAATGCATTTAATCCTTATATTCCGAGTCACATAGGGTGACACTGGGGTTTGATGTTGTTTGCTAAGTGAATATAACCAAGGACACCCTATAGGCTCCTTAGCAGCACACTCCATTACGTGGTTTCCTCTAGGCTAGAAAAACGCCTTACCTGACAACTGCATACTGTGCACTTCTTGTCATAGTCAGGTGCCCATCTAGTTCCATGAGCCCTTAATTTTCCTTCAAAATGACAAGATCTGGAGTCCTTTCCAAGATCCTCTGAGTGACGCTGGTGGTTCTTCTCAACTGATTCATGCTCAGAGTCCTCCGGAGAGAGTAGTGTACTTCCCGATTCACAGCTGTTTGGAATACGTACCTGTTAGAATTGGAATAGAAAAGTATTACATTATTAGTTATCATTATTATTAGTATTACAGTTAGTGTTTATTGAATTTAATTATAACAACACTGTATGGGCACTATCTAGATCTAAGTTAAAACATTTGTGGCCAAAATGTATATAGTAATATTAAACAAACTATCTATTATAACTCCATCATACTTACTCGCCCCCGAATCTCTCCACGTGGATTAAGCTTTGTGCTGACTTGGATAAATGCAGTGCCTTGGTTCAGGTGACTAAACAGTTCAAGATCAAGGTCCTTTACACTACCCTGAGCCTGTTTAAAATCAGAGAAAGGATTCATGTTTAATATCCAGAATATAGAAAATAGTAGATATTTCAGACAAAACTGTTTTGGATAATTTTATTAGGTAGGTAATAAATACTGATACCATTTGTTTCTCTATTTAAAGCTGTGAAGCAAATACATGTCATGTTTAATGTATGCAGATGAAGCATCACTCACTTCTCAAACCTTTAGGTCCCTTTCACACGGCGTACCAATCAGGTCCCCCTGTCAGCATACAACAGTCAATAGGGAGTCATATGTAAATGGACCTGTGTCCATTCACATCTGATTACCTTCAAGTTGGACGAAGTTCTGTTTACATTCGACTCCCTATAGATTTACATTGCGTTTCCGATCAGGTCCTCCTACAAAATTACTGGTTTACCTGATCAGTACGCCGTGTGAAGGGGCCTAATGGCTCAGGTTTGAACTCCATCGCAAGATGGAAGAAAAAGCTTAATGGACACGAATGTCACAGGAATGGCACTCCTTTTGTACTGGTCCGATCAGCAGGGAATCTGTGCACTGATCCACTGCTGCTCAAAAGAGACAGCGCCCTTGTTAAAGGGGCCCAAGTCACTAGCCTTTAAACTCACCTCTGACCCATAGAAGCCTTTTAGCAGTCTCTTGTGACCATTTGAGTTGTCACTGACTTCACCAAGTTCAGCAAAGCCATGCAGATGTGCATTGAGCGCTGCATCCTCAGCACGCCCGAGACCTGTCACCACAATCTGATAGTGCAGGTGGCAGTGTTCATCTAGAGACACCCAGGCATGACCGGCTGATCCTGTCTTCAGGGGTGGTGACACAAACTGACCAGCCAGGGGGATTGGAAGATCTAAAAATATAAACAGATGTGGAGAATGATCAGCGGATAGTTCTAAAAAGGACAGAAAGTATGATTCTCATTAGGAGAATCAGCCAGCAAAGAGTTACACAAGACTGATTCCCAGTCATGAGCCACCTCCCTTTGTGAGGAGCAGGGAATATGAAACTTTTGCGAGCCAGGAGGGTGGGAAAAGCAGGAAAACTGCAAGATTGACACAGAGGGAAGAAAGAGGGAAATACTAAGCAGAAAGATTTTTAGAGAGCAGAATAAAAGGACAAATTTAGCGGGTTAGCAACCCACAAAACTGTCCCTACTGTACAGAATTTCTGGCAGATTCGTCACAAATAGGTATTGGAACAGCATAGCTATCCATAAACCATATCCCCAAAATTAAAGCATAGAAATAATTATATATAGAATTTCTGACAGCTGACACAATCTCAGAGCCACCTTCCACAGAAATGAATGCATTTAAATAGGTTAGATAGATATACAGATGGGCAGTTTGATGTAAGGAAGAAATATATACACACATACAGTGACCACACTTACTCTCATGTCTGGCCCACATCCCACTGTATTGTAAAGGTGTGATCTGTCCTCTCAGTTCTCCTTCCTGGAAATCTTTGGTGGCTACATTAAGGAAAAGTTCACTTTGAAGTAGCATGTGCAGGTCCCGGGCATTAGCGCTTGTCCACAGCCCACAAGCCTGATCAGAAGAAGTAAATTAATAATGGATTAAATATCATCCCAACCTTCCTGCTATTGTGATACACTACGACTTGGCATACAGATTCACTAATATAAAAAAATAATTCTTCTGATGGGATGCTGCCTCAAAACTAGTTACAGATATTTAAACTCCTCATTGCAAACCAAGCTTCCCATTACCCATAAATTCCTGAGACAACTTATCTGATATCCTTTCACAGACATGTATCCTGACTCACTAGTTGGAAATTGCTCAGATATTGCCACCAGCTGTGCCTTAAACTACTGCAATTCCCTTATTTACTGTTTGTGCCACTTCCTATAGTACACCCCCTCCGTATAATGCATACCTTTCTTCCCAACATATCCTTTTTAAATTAATACATTGAGACATGTATGGTATATCTACGTTCTATCTCACTGGGCAAATTGTATGTTTTCCCAATACTTTTAGAATGCATGCCTTAAATATACAGAATGCTGTTAAACATGTCCATGCTTTTCTGGGGTTTTCTTGCTGTATTGCAATGTGCTGATTAGTGTTCCTCTACCATGTCTGCATCCATGTATATAATTGCTGAACTCCCTCTATTCATTCCTGCTGCTTGCATGTATTGTTGCTCGGCTCCCCTTGTTGCACTTCATGCTTCCTGCCTGCATAAAAATCTCCTCTTATTCCCATTGTCACTTTACAGCTGAACCCTGGGGAAGATAAACCTTTACTTTTGCAGTGGATAACCCTCTCAACTGCAAGGCTTAACTGCTTGTTTCACCTAAGGGAAGACAAATAAGTTGATATACTCATCTTATTCTTTTCTTCCACAGGTTTTTTCCTCTTTGTGCAACCGATCCCCCTATGCCACCAGTCGCAGCTCTCTGACATTGTCCAGGACAATGCAGGACCAGCAGTCATGCGTTGTACAAAGAAAGTTGAAGGTATGCCCACATTCCGTAGCATCATACAGCGGTGTGCCAGAGTGTGGGGAGTGAATAAAAAGGTAAATATATCACCTAATGTATCATCTCCTAGGCAAAGCGAGGAGTTAATCCATGTAAAGGCAAGTGGAACCTACTGCAAGGGTAAAGATTTTTCATCCCCAGAGTTAAGCTCTAGTTTATAGTTCAACAATAAGATTTATCACCAATTTCTTACCGCTCCATCATGGAAATCCTTCGTTAGGTCATGCAGAATATTTCTCTTAATCTTTCTTCGAGGTTTGGTCTCCAGTGTCACTGCTGTCACGTCACTCATAATGCCAGCAACTTGGAGCTGTAAGAATAAGTCATATATTAGAGTGACTACCAGTTTATGCCACAAATATTAAGAGAAGGACACTGCTACTCAGAATATTGCCCTCTCTATGTCATGATCTAATACATAGAGAACCATCATGATAACTTCTAAACTGTACCTGATACTCCACTGTCCCATTTTCATGAAGTGTGAAGGTTGCAGACCCAACTGATCCACTCTTTGTTGGGTTCAAGGCGTCTCCTCCAGATAAAACACTCTGCAGAGCTGTGGCAATAGAATAGGTGTAAACATTGAATTGGCTCTGCCAGTAAACATAATTGTAGATTATTTATATGTGTATTTATAATAAGCAATTGACAGCTAATGATTTCCTTTGCCTCTTCTCAACTGTTCTTTATAGCAGGAAAAGGCAAGATAAAACTGGCAGCAAATGGTTACAAGCTCTCACATGGCTTTTTGACATTAATAGTTACAGAATTCCTCTAGTTTTCTCAGGAAAGGCTTTCTTTTTATGTATCATAGAAATAAGCAAAGAACAAAAGTTTGGCTGCATTGAGCAAGTGTTTCAGATGGCCATAACCACAATCTTAGTGAGGCAAAGATATGTAGCCAGAAGTATAACTCTCCAAGGGAAGCCATTGTGTGCTGTATGTATGTGCCGTTATGAGTAGAAATACAAGTCTTGTGAAAGATATGTACTGTGTCTATATCTTTCATCTTTAGTATCCCATCTTACACTAATACTGTGATTCTCTTCAAAAGCCTTCCCCTCTGTCCAAAATTATAGAACTTAGCTTGAACTTGATGGTATCCTTACATTCTCCATAAAAATAAATGAATAGTGCAAATATGCTGTATAGTGCAGGGCAAGAAGATTCCACTGCACCCTATATTGCTCCCAATTGATCATTACTGTATAGATATGCTCACTAATCACATGCAGTTTCAAGTCAATAGTAAAGCTTCCTCTCAAGCCTTGGAAGCTACCCTACATGCTGACATAGTTTTTCTGCCCCACCAGCTACATTACTGATGAATCATAGACACATAAAATAACTAGGAATAGTGTATAGTGAACAAAAGTATTCTAGCTAACCCTTTCAGAGCTGTGGCCACCTCTACAGACTGTACATTCTGTGGAGAGGTCTGTGTTCCACTATGGCCGGTGACACAGATAACAGATACTCCCTGCACTTGGAGGAGTTCTGTGTAATCAGTATGCATGACAGCCTTACCCCACTTTTAGGATGCCATGCTAATTCACAGGTGAGCTACTCGTGAATATCCAACTGAGGATTCGGCAGCGTTTTTTTAGAAAAGAAGAATTCAAAGAGTTGCTTTAAATTGGAAATCTAGCCAAGCCTTTTGGGAGGGAGGTGGTAGGAGATAGAGCCCCTAACGGGTTTTTAGGCTATTATTGCTCTTTAAGTCCCCCATCAGTGAACTTTCTCTTCACTTCCTGTATAGGCTACAACTGTCGGGGACAAAAAGTGTGGGGAAATCTTCTCAACAGAGACACAGCCAACAACATAAAACTATGGCTAGGTGCCTTTGTGCGTAAAACATGTTAGAAGTCACTGTTCCTATGTTATATATGTAATGTATCAATAAAGAAGACCCTTTGCAATATGTCAGTGTGCCGGTGTCCCAACCGTTAAGATTTCCCCTCACTTCCTGTCTCACTGACACTCAGGAAGTGAGAGGTAATCTTTGCAGTAAGAAAATTAATGGTGATAAAGACCTGAGGTCCAAACACTTCCCTATGCAATGCAAAACAATACAAAAAAAGTTTGAACTGGAATTCAACTTTAATCCCCAAAGCTGTTCAGTCTAACTGAATCAGTCAACAGTAATCACCTGTAAAACTTGGCACACTGGCCTGTTTTTGTCTAAAATGTTTTACTTACTGTCACATGACTTCCTGACCGTAATAATGCCTGAGATTCGTTGTCTATGCCTTCCCTCGGTCTGCACTGCAATCTTCAGCTGTCCCTGGGCAAGCCACTGCATCTCACGGCTGGACAGGTCTGGTAAAACCTCTGCAAAATCTGGCTCCTGGAAGGGGTATTAAAAGAGAGTTAAGAAGTGAAATCAAACATTACAATCAGGTTAGAGGAATATAGAAAAGAAAGAAGCAATATTAATTATGATTTTACATAACTGAAACATATAGTATAGTCACAACTGTCTCTCACCTGTGTGGTAATATTGGCGTAGAGCTCTCTTATAACATGATTGTGGTGTACGATTTGCACAGTTATTGGAATCCCTTCTGTCATGGGAAATAAACATCAGAATATTATAAAGCAACTCCCTTGACTTTTTGCTTTGTTTTTCAAAGCAAAAAAAAAAATGTTTTATTTTTTCTGGTCTGTGTATCTACACAAATCGTATGCTAAAAAGCCACTCATTTATGTAGTTCTATTGTAATTTGTAAGTGATCTGTTTGTTCCCTTGTCCCACCCAGATATTCACAGCACAAGCTGATTCTGATACAACTCCATACCTGAGAGTTCTAAATTTAGAAAGGAATGTTAAACGTGTCAAACATGTAGCACTTAAAGTTGAACTTTGGGAAAAACGAACAATTTCCCTTGCAGTGTGGGTTGTTTAGGTCTAGAATACCTGAAAAAAAATAATTTCTACTTACCTGATCCCTTCAGGCTCCCTCTGGGCACCCACAGGCTCTTCCTCCCTTCGATATGGCAGTCAGAGGCCTCCTGATGTCATCAAGTATAATTCAGGGCCTATAGCCCTCCATTATACATGAATATCATCAGTACATGTGGTCAAGGGAAAGTCCACAAGCCGGAGTGTAGGGAGACAAGGTGAGTGCCGACTGCCAGGGGAGCGGGGATCAGATAAGTAAAAGTACTTTTCAGATACCCTAGACCCGAAACAAGCATTTAACCTTTGCAGTGTGAGGGTAGCTCCACTGCAAGGGGAGTTTTGAGTTTCCCCAGAGATAGGCTTTACTATTAAAATTATAATAAACTTTCAATGCTCCTGTAGAGTATTGTCTGAATAACCAACTGCATTCCATGCTGGAGTGGATATTCTGTAGATGACGCTATTGTGAACAATGCTTTCTACATGATCCCAAATATCTTACCTCGTTCTCCTCCTTGTATTCCTCTGAGCATAAGGATAAAGTGCAGATTGTCATCTACATCACTAAGCGTCAGCATAGCAAGACCTCGTTCCATTGCTTCCTCTGTGCCGTCTGGCATTAGAAGGGCACTAAAAGATTCTGTAGGAAATAATCAAAACATTTCCCATTGAATTTCCTCAAATATTTGCTGCCAGTTTTTCCAGAACTTCTTTTCTTTTATGATGGTAATAAATGATTCACTCCAACATGTTTTTTTATCATAATTTTTGTTATTTTGCTGAAATTTTACCTGAAAATAAAGCTTTGTGACGGACAATCTTGCCAGTGATTTCAGGCTCGGAAATTGCTGTGGTCACCAAAGAAACAAGAATGTGTCCTAAACGAAGAAGGTGCAGAGAGGGACGAGGAACAGATCTCCATATGCCACAGATCTAGAAAACAAAAAACATATAACTTTTACAATGAGGCAAGAAAGATGGAAAACACAATGCAATAGGCACTGCAATATTACTTACTGTGTCACTATGCGGGTACCCCACTCTGTGCACAAGATGTTCAAACAACACAGAGCCATCAGGGTCTGTGAAACGAACTCGGGAAAGGCCATGTATGCTAAAGGTAATAAAATTACACCAAATTAAATATTAAGAGCATGTAGAAGAAAGTATATACAAATGCAACAAAAACACGAATAGCACATGCAGCACATAAATTTGTAGAATGTGTATCAGTATGCAACAGCTTATAAAGTTATAAACCTATAAAGTTATTTGTGTAATAAAACAACAGAAAAAGAACAAACAATACAACAATTCAGAAGCATTCCTACCCTTTGTAAGTGATGGAGAAAAGTAAATTGGAACGCTGCAAATTGAATTTAGCCTTGGCAAGTCCACTATTCACTGGGGGCCACACAGAACTGGAAGCAGTCAAAAAGGCAACGTATTCTGTCAAAACAAACACAGACCATGTCCATAAATACCACACTGTGCATTTGAAAATGTGCAAACAAACCATCACAAAAAAAAGATGCAAGTGTACAGCAAATGCACTGCAGGCCATTGAGCATTGCAAGTTACATCAAGAATGTATCTGAAATTTTTTTAGATTGTTGTACTTTATAATATGTTACCATTGCTCAGGATTGAGATTTGAATAAATAAGGAAAGAAAGCGTTAACACTGAGCACTGCCAGCATTCGGCACATACCCGAATGCTTCCCCTCCTTTCCTAATAAGCAAAAGCTGCAATAAAGATGTTTTCAGAAACGCTTACATATTTGTTTCTACAATGTAACAAGCTTATGGGGAAAAAAAAAGATCTGTTTCTAGTCATGTACGGTGATTGAGTTTTGTGCTCATACCTGTACGGCTGTCTTCAACACCGACATCATCAGAGCTGAGGTAAGAACGATCATTATAAAGATCATCATCTTTTTCTTGGAAATACTCAAACTCATCGAAAATAAATTCGGATTTCTTCGAATGGAGGGGTGGTGGAAGAGCTGAATTGAAAAAGAAAGAGTGAGTTAAGCTTGAAGAAACAAAAGTGAAATAAAACTTGTGAGGAAAAACAGCATGAGTCTTCAGGTCCTATTCACACTTGTGCATTGCGACAATGATGTAACGCGCAAATATTACACGTTTCAACACAACGTTTAAACACACCACAAAAGGATCACAAAATGTGAATAGGGCTGCAACAGGTAATATATAAGGCCCTAATGAGTCTAAAGCTGAAAATTAAAGTCCAGACACAAGGAAGCGCAGGGAAGTAGGTTACATAGACAGCTAGCCAATATTTTGAACTGAGAACTGAAAAATATCTTACCCTTGGGGCACACCCGGCAGCATTGTCCTGGGGTTTCTACAGGATTGGAACAGGTGATTGTAGGGCAATGACTCTTGATGCTTTTACAGCTGATCTTACCAGATGTTTTTCCCCAATGGCTCCGCTGCTATAAAAAAAAAAAGGCAGATATACAAGAAGTTTTACAAAGGCATTTTTTTTCTGCATGATAAAACCACAAAATGAGATTACAAGTAAAATAAGTAAGCAGACTGAAAAAAAATTGTGATTTACATCCTTGACCTGCATCTGTTATCTGCTTTTAAAGTGAACCTATTAGTTGACTTGTTTTTAAAGATGCAGGCTCCAGGGCTGTGCCATCCTGACTTCAGCTTTCCTCCTTAGTAAGTAATTGACCTAAAACAAGCATGCCGGATGAGATCTCAAACTTTTCAAATGTCATTGGCTCTATTGTTGTTTCAGTTCAGTAATTCATAGCGTAATCAAGTCAGGATCATAATGGCAGCCCAGAAGCCAGCATCTTTATAAAAACATTTTTTAAAAACACGTCAACCCCCATATTTCTATTCTCACAGGTTCACTTTGACCAGGGGTATTACAAGACTACAGTGTCCAGGAGCATCGCCTATTGCCGGTTAGTAATTGTTTTCAGACTGAGCCTTCCAATATACAAAACAAAGACTTCCACTTAACATATTACTGCTTGCTCCTTCAGTCTTTCCAATTCATTATGCATCTTGTAATTAGCAATCAATCAAGGCATAGCCAGGAAGTTTTCAATTGCTTTTCTGACTTTCTTTTTTTTTACTCTATTTTTTTTTAAAGGCTTAAGGGCAAGCCATTGAACACATTGTACAATACTTTAAAAGTATGGCATGAATCAAGAAATAAATGGCATAAAATTAATATTGCATAAATGCAATACAGGAATATGGGAACCCAGCCACCAGCTTTGTGCTGTTTTGGCATTATAATAATATATGGTAAACTGATTTTTTTCAAAGTGTAAAAAGAGCTGAAGTGAACTTGTGTTATCTTCATTTTCGAGTTTTTCAAATTCCCTGCACATGACTGGATGTTTGAAATGAATGTAGCTGCTTTTATCTCACTTTTGCACATTTGTAAATCAGGCCCATAGAGCGAACAAGCCTGTATGACATTTAAGAGGAAAGTGGTGCTTGAAAAAGGAAAGTACATCCAAATTCTAACTCTAGGTGGAAGCCCATAGTGCAGAAGAGGGACCGCCCCATAAAAGTCCCTTATAATTGCCCCATAAAAGTCCCTTATAATTGCCCCATATAGTCCCCAAGACTTAATTCACACAACTTAAGGCATGCTTTTGTTGATTTTTGTATACACTCTACTTAAATATATTAAAATTTCTGGTGACAGGATGGTGTGCAATATTAGGATGCAGTAGAACTCTCCATATTTACTCATTATTGCTTTACCATCTATTTGTATGGGCCCCCAGAATGTGCAGCGACAGAGTAAAATTCATGCAGGTCACATTTTCTGTTAAGCACTGCAGCATAGAGATATGAACGGGCTTGACTGATAGTCCTATGATTGCTGAGCCATTCCTGCATCAGCTGTGTAGAACCTCTGGAACAAGGCTTTGGGACATTTCCATATCCATGTTGACATAAGGAGAATCTACTTAGTTCTAATTCAGTTACCTGTGACTTTATATAAGTATTATATTCTTATTTGCTATGTGTAATATTTACATTATGCCATTACAGGTATGTTTTCTGTTCATGCTTCTCTTTCCTCCTGCAATCGCAAATAGCTAATTTTCTTTTCTATTTTTTTTTTTTATCATTCTTCTCTCCCATTATATTTTAAACATGAGAGATTTAAACTTTTTTGCTAGCCCTGTGAGCCTCTGATACGGCAGGGCCCCTATATGTCTGTATAGACATGTACCCAAATCAATCCACCTTTGCTTCTGAACACAATTTTAATATGCTCTTAAGTCCAGATTTTGGCACATAAGCAAAACACTTCCGAATCAACAAAAAGACATAACCAAATTCACCTGAAAGTTTGAGTCATGCTTTAGGGTGAAATAAGAAAAATACTATCTTGTCTTTACAGTAGAGTTTTCATGAGTGAAACACAGGGGTGGCCATTTCTACAGCTGTCTGGCTGTTATGTAGAACCTCTGGCTGCAGTCATTTAAACCAATGAGCTATAAGAAGTATGCAGATCAGGCAATACAGAGAAAAGAAGAAAGTCCTGATCTGTGTACCTGTTTCAGGTCAGTGATGCAAAGTATTAAAGCAAGACAGTATTACACCCAGGCAACTAGCATTTCAGAAGAACAGGTGAGCACATGCAGCCATCATGTTTCTCTTGTGACAGTTTTCTTTTTACCTGATTAGGACTGAAGTTAGTCCCTTTAGCAAATGACTCCAAAGTTTCTATGAAACCAACACTTACCGCCTCACAACGGCATGCCACACAGTATGCTACTCCAAAGGGTTTTCCCAGGTCTGGATGCCATGTGTCCCCTAGGGAGTACACTTTATTCCCAAGGTGGCAACCTGCAAGAAATAGATACATATTATGGAGCTGGATGCAGGGAAACATAACTTCAGAACGGCAATTACATGAGACACCTGGGGAGGAAACAATTACAGAAGTCATAGGAGAACACAAAGAACTGAGCCCTGGAGAACATGTGTGCTTAAAGCTCCCCCAAAATACAGCATATAACTCTAAAGCTGGTTGAGCCCTTCATTGCTCTGTAGTCTGTACTACACTCAATTCTGTCAGAAGTATAGACTATGCAAGGGCAATGTCCTCAAGACAGATGCTTGTTTCTCTGGTCAGGTACTCTAACCATTTACAAAATTGTCACTTCCAAATCCCACAAACGGCCACTAAGCAACTACTAAGTGGTCAAATTAATATGTAAGCCAGTCTGGCCAATCCAGGAGTCAGCTCCATTAACATCAACTAAAGAAACCCTCAAGGTTTAGGTGCCAGCTGTAAATTTTAGGGAGAATTGGCTGTATGGCTCATGTGATTTGTCCAGCAATGCATAGCCATTGTGTGCCGCAAACAGGACCTCACAACATCGTGGCCAGGTAGGGCAATGCCTAACATGATAAAAGTGTGGTATGCTGTACAGGTAATAAAACATATACTAGTATAAATGACATGTACATTTCACGTGGTTCTAGCACTTTTATATTAAACATAGAAGAAAATGTGCAAAGCTTGATGAAGGGATCTAAGGAATCCCAAAAGCTTGCATCTTTTCTCATTAGCTAGCAAAGGTTAACACCTTAACTACATACTTTCTGCACTAATCGATGGTTAACAAGGTACAATACTCTACTACTACATATAAAAACTAATAAATAGATTGAAGTATAAAAACATATACTGGTATGTCCAATGTTCCACTATAAAATGCAAATACTAAATATATACTATGGACAGTCACAGCACATTAAGCCAACTTGCAGAAACATAGTTATAGCATGTGACAGAGCTAATGGGTTTTTTTCAGCTGTTGTGGAACAAACTTGAGCAGGTATGGCTGAACAGAGTTTCTTGGCACTTGCATTTCCACACCAATTGGAAAAATTACAGGGTGTATGCCACCCAGGGCATTGGGGCAGTGAGTAGGCATAGAAATATGGAGCCTAATTTTTCCTTGGAAGGAATAGCTATAGTTCTGCAAGCCAGATGCTACTTTTGCAATATTGCGTTGTATTAATGTAGTTTGTAAGGAATAAGAAGGAAAAATCTGACACAGGAGTGCAGAACCAAGAATGTCCGAATGAGACATGACTGAATCGTGTTCTGGCAGCCGAAGCGCTCTGTGCAATGGGGCTGAGTTACATAAACATTCTCTCATAACAACTAATAAGCAATTCTCTTCCTATGAGAGCCATTACTGTGACAAAACATTCCCCGAGTCTGCTCAGAAACCACATTCACTGTGATTACAGCTCTGCTTCTTGCGCTCCAAGTCAGCCACATAGTGCGAGACAGTCTTAACCCACAGGTCAGAGCTCACTAAATGTGTGAGGGGCCAAATCTGACACAATTCCTGATCTAGTATAAAGCCTATATAGTCAGGGCAAACACCACTCTCCTGCACTTTGCCCGTTACAAACAGTATCCTTGAATCATTTGATGCCTGTACTTCTAGAGATCCCATGACCCCACGGTTCCCTATAGTACCCCATCACCAAGAGATCCATGCTACTGTACCCCACCACAAACAGATCCAAGCGACTGTACCCCATCACCTCTAGATCTGTGCTACTGTACCCCACCACCACCAGATCTGTGCTACTGTAGCCCAATACCAACAGATCTTTGCTACTGTACCCCATCACTGACAGATCCATTCTTCTTCCGCACTTACACAGTTAATACAGTCAATCAACTGATTAAGAATGAGTAGTGCAGTCTGAGAATTTAGCTGTTGTTATCACTTACCTATCTGCGACTTAAATGGCAAAGGATCCTGCTCAGGTTTGATTGGAAGTAGAAGTTTGCGACGTGAGGCATCAACATCCACAATCCAGAGCATAAACAGCAGGAAATGGGCACATGCCATCGTCATTTTTCCAGTTTTTCGGTTACTGTGGTGTAGGCTGAAGAAATCCTGTACCTTTCCCCCTCTAATCATTAATACTACCAGATGAGCACTAATGTAACTCCTCTTCTCCACTTCCCTGCCACTGAGTCACTTGTGCCTAAGTAGCACTATGTGGCACTTTGCAACTACGCCTGTTCGCCTGTCACTCTCCTCTCTTGCAGCAGGTCAAACTGTTCAGAGGGCACAGTTCAATCTGGAATAGGCACAGTTAGCTGATGCTTCCTCTTATAGCTGAGTTGGTCAAAAGCTGGATTTATTTGCACTGTTAGCACCTTGCCCCAGCCCTCTCTCCAATCTTGCCAAAGTATATTGCACTCACTCTGGGAGTTGATGACTCGCTCAGCAGGGTTTCTGCCTGAGGAAAGTGTCTGTTAACAATATTGAATAGCTCAGCAGGGCACAGCAGGGACTCTGGGCTCCCCCCCAACCTGACACACTCAGACATAGCATCCTGACTCAGCCTAGACCCACCCAAAAGAGGGGAGAGGATGAGCAGAGAGGGGAGAGAGAGAGTGATACACTGAGAGCGAGGAAGAGGTGGGGGAGAGGATGAGTACAGAAAGAGCCCTACACAGGCAGACACAGAATACGTCTTAGAGGGGAGCTTAGGCTACGGGATGGAGAAATATCCACAGAAGCATATGCAATATAAATCACAGGAACAATATATTCAAGTGCTAATACAATAGTTAAATATCTGATGTTATAGTAGCATCTTAAATTAGCTGAAAGCATCATTGGATTGATGTATCTTAATAGAAGGCACACAGCTTTTTTAACTGATTTTTTTTTACATATAAACATTCTCTATAGGTAATTTACTGTCCTGGTAATTTCCTAAAGAGTGTAATTTTTCAAAGGTCTTCTTTGGATAAAAAGAAATGTAAAATTATTAATGTGCACTAATGATGCAATGGCTCGAGTTGATTATTCACCCCTCAGTAAATTACTCTCTAAGTGGTAATAAGCATACATCACTCAATATAAAAAGACAGAAAATTAATTACATCCTGTCTATACAATTTATTGTGAATATTGTTTTCTAACTACTGATTGATATAGACCTTTTTGCAGCACGGTGTGATATGCTGCAAAATACCACAAGCCAATGGTCGCACAACCTGCAATATAAAATCATGTCTTTGAATTTTTTGGTTTACCATACTAAAGCAGACCTTGACCAGTATGATATATATTATGTGTGGTAATATCAAGTTAATTATTTATCCCTCAGTAAATCACTCTCTAAATTATACTAAGCATATACAAATAAGAAAATATATATTTCCTGCCTATACAATTTATTGTAAATATTGTTTTTAAACTGATATTGATGTAGACCTTTTTGCAGCATGCTGTGATACGCTGCAAAATATCACAAGTCAATGGTTGCAAAGCCTGCAATATAAAATCAGCTGTTTTCATTTTTAGATCTATCATACCAAGGCAGACCTTGGCCAGTATGCTATGTATTATATGTGGTCATATTAAGTTATTATTCATCCCTTAGTAAATCACTAAGTTATAATAAGCATATAAAAACATAATCAGTTAATTATTTCCTGTCTATACAATGTTTTGTAAATAGTAATACTGTCTTTAAACTACTAATTGATCTAGACATTTTTGCAGCATATGCTGAGATATGCTGCATAATATTACAGGTCAATAGATCAACAATATAAAACAGTCTGTATTCATTTTTCAGGTATACCATACTAAGGCGGATCTTGGCCAGTATGATATATATTATATATGTAGTCATTTATTTATAAAACATGATTTCACAACTAGGTACTTTGCTTTACTGATCCCTATGAATATAATATCTGCATTGCAATCCTATAAATATAGAGAGCACAAGAACAAAAGAGAGGTAGAGAGGAAATTGCAGTAGGTCTAAAGAGGGTGATAAATTGTTTGGTAGAATCTGCAAATGACTTTCATACAGTGGCAAACATATGGAAGTGTTTGCTTAGAGGATTAGTACTATGCTGGTGGCAGACTTGTCTGGAAGTTACTTTTCCTTAGAAGTATGCACTTTCTACTCTCTTCTGAGTTCCATTGCATGCGGAGATCAGCACATTTCTATAGGTCCAATAGTAAATGATAATGCCTCTCTTTATTAACTCTTACAGCTCCATGATACATACATTATCTTCAATTACACATGTAACACTGCACATACTACATGTTCTGCTAAACTAAGATAGAGGCATATTCTTTCCACAGCTTACTAGATTTTTCCACTGTCTCATTTCTGGAATGTTGAACCAAAGGCAATAACACTTTTATTTTTTACAGATATCAACCAGACTGGAGTGGTAAAACCCTTCTGCCATTGTTCCTGGCTCTGTTTCCATCCATATTGGAGTTCTGGTGTGTTACTAATCCTCATAATAAATTCTCCATAAAATAAGTTGTGACACACAAGAGATATAAACATTTGCTTAGATGCCAGTGTATGTATGTACATATAAATATATAACTGAGTATACCTTATAAACTGGAAAGCCACAGTGGACCGCTTTCAATGTTGGTCACACACATAATATTGAAAACTCAAAGTGTCACAGTGTAAGTTTGCTTTTAACCAACAAATGTCTCCCACACCTTTTTTATCATAGCTAGACCACAAAGTATTTTCTTTTTTTTTCAGCAGTCCCAAAGTCCCCCTGCAAGGATGGGTGTAAAAGGATGCACCCAACTGTATGGCCCAGGACACATGGCTGAAGGGACACGCCAAGGCACCTCAAAAGCTGGATATGAGATTCAGGCCGTGGCTAGCTATTGCTTGGTATTGCTTACTGTGCATGTCCCCCACCATTAGGAGAGCTATGCCACCAAATACAGATGTTATTAAATAAATCTAGTTGACTGTGACAATATTATTATTATTATACAGGATTTATATAGCGCCAACAGTTTGCGCAGCGCTTTACAACTAACACCAACTAGTTATACTATGAGTTGGATAAATGGAATCCTTCTCAGACACATCCATTGAGACATCATAATGGAACTCAAGGCCCTGGCACATAATGTATTATTTTGTGTACTCCATATGCATCAGTAATAACAGGGAAATAGTGTATAATGCAAAGGCCGTTTAGAAATGTAACATTTTCCCACTAAGGCTGCCTGAAATATCACATAGACATGGACCAAACTTACAGAATGATAGAGGGCAATCTGTATATATTAATGGCATCTTTTAGTCTACTGTTCTAACACACTGTGGCTTAATTTCAAAGACTGCTGAATCAATTGCATCGTTCTATTTTGTGGAAACTTTTTTTCTGGGTTTCAAAATTATTAAATAAAAATTTGCAATGCCAAAGTGAAGTGAAAACAAAGTAAAAAGTGGACATATGTGCTTAAAAATTACAAAATAAAGTAAAATATATAAAAAAAGTTTGTTTTCTCTCCTTCTGCCATACATTGTCAACACTTATCTACAAATAGTGGCAGAAAAAGTTTTAGTGAGAATTACAAGTGCCAAACAAAATGTCAGGGTTTTCCTACAGGCAGCTTTAACTACATCAATTGATATTTCTAAAGGGTTAACAAATTCCCCCTTACATAGGGTTGAGGCTTAGAGCCAACCAAAAGTGTAGGCCAGTTACGGTTATCTTAAGGTATATCTAAATCCAACATGTTTTGCTTTAGATATGGTTAAGACCCCTGACTAGTCCCATTGAGGAGATTTCCTATTACTTCCTATCTTGTGATACAAAAGGAAGTGAAAGAAAATCTCTCAAAAATGTGAAAAATCCTGTGTTGGTTGTCATTGGGGATAAGTGTCCCCATTTGAAGATTTCCCTTCTATTCCTTACCAAGGACAATCAAAAATATAAAATTTTCCCTTACTTTCAGTGACGGTGGTCGCCAACACAATTTAAGAGAGTCAATCTACCCAGCAGGAACACAGACATAAAATCCTAACAGGGGTTCTAATCTTTCTCTACTCAGTCCGAAACTAGAAATGATTTAGCACAATCTTATTATTCATTAAAGGAGAACTATGAGGGGAGTGCTTTTCACTCCCCTCATAGTTCTAGCCGCCCTGTGACAATGAGATTGTCACAGGTCGGCTCAGTAGATCGGGAGGTGAGCGAACACATACCGGCGTTCGCTCACCTCTCGATCCTGTCACAGCCCTCTGCCGTGACAGAGCCAGCTGTCACTCACGCAGCTGGGTGGATCCAGACATAATTGTCGGGATCCGCTTCAGCTGCGGTGTCTCAGTATACCGCGAGCTGTAGCTCGCAGTATACTGAGCTTAGGGTGACGGGAGGATGCTAGTTTGTGTCCTCCCGTTACCCTAAGGAGAACTATGGGGAAAAGCCTTAACCCCTTAACCCCATAGTTCTCCTTTAATGGTGTGGATCTTAGCATTGTGTGGGTTGCCGGATATTGACCAGCAGGGGAAGGGAGGCAGGTATGTGCTCTACAGATAGGGGAGTCTCTGTGCTGTCACTAAGAACCCTCAGGTCTTTAGCATGTGGGGATGCCACATAAAATAAGAAGAAGAAGAAAGGAGTGAAGGAAAGGTGAAAAGTGAAGAGGGGGGAGAAAGGTAGAGATAGAAAAGGGAAAAGAGCAGGAAGGGAATGAAAAGAAAAAAGAGGGGAAGGGTTGGGGGTCTCTGTTGGGGTTTTCACCCCCCTGGAAAAATCAATTTCCAACCTTTGTAAACAGACCCATAGTATTAACAGCTCAGTTATCCCACAACATCTCAGCTTATAGAAAGTTTGATTGCTGATTATCAGTCTGATTATCACATAATAAAAGCAATTCTTACCACAAATTGCACCATTATTTAGCACAGTAACACACACTTTGCTCTTCCACACTCAAACTTAAACACATTCAGTAAGCGGCAATACACAACATATTATAAAACACTCTACTAATCACTGTGACAATACTGAACTCCTTCACACAATAACTCTATTATCACATATTTACATAGCAATAGGAAAGGTTCAACTCATGCTGAGATCAATGTCCTAGAAGATGATACACAGTATCCTTATGCATGGAAGTTCTCTGGCCTGGTCCTCACTACACATTTTCTACCCTTAAAGGCTTTGTTATTAATGGTGGAATCATACATTAAGCATTTTCATGTTTGCGTAATGACATTTATTATACTGTGTAAAATAGAAGGTTCTATTTCAATAATGCTGATTTAGCTGAGTTTTAAAACCATATATTTAATTCCTTG